CTTCTGTTCAAGTGAACAATTCCCATAATTTTTTTATCAAATGTGTAGGAACTTAACAGAGGAAATTATGAAATTTATTTTGAATAAATTTACTTTTTCGATGTAAAAATTATAAATGAAGGATTTGATAACCCTTTACTTTTTTTGTTGAGTATATTAGCAGTACTGTTTTAATTCTCAAAACTAGCTATAACATATTTTTGAGCATTTTTTTAAACATACATGTTAGAAATATTTTATTTGTATAGTTTAAGCCATTGGTAAAATTAAAAGACTTGGATTAATTTCCAATCATAACCGATTTGTCGTTTGAAACATAACAACAAAATGTTGCCTTTCAGGAAGTATTTGTTCATAGCCCTCATTTAAAATTGATGTTAAGTAACTGATAAGCTTTAAAGATAAAAATATAAATATCGTTGATCGTTTTTGGCATGATATAATAATTTTTCGAATATGATATCTTTGTTTAAAAAAACGTATAAATACCTACCATCAAAAACACAAGTCCTTTCACTTCAGAGTTCCGAATGACGACAAAAACATAGGAATAAGTGCACGCTCAACGCAAGGTAAGCGCAATGTAAACAGAACGAAGACCGAACGGTGAACATATGCGCACGGTCAGCGGTGAACGCAATCTGAACGAATGGTGAAGGCGCGTTGGACATACGCTGAACGAACGGTGAAATACCTGGACATAAACTACCTAGATATGAGGTCATTATAGAATATGACGTCAAGTCACTGCATTCTTGAGGTGACATGATGGGTAATTTTTAAAAAGAAATTTACATGGCATGCAGATTAGTTTTGGGGCCTTGTTTTTTAAATCAAGTGTAAGGATTGTCTTGTAAGCTACAATTTGCTGTTATGATGTTGAATATTTGAAATTTAAACATCCCTATTCCTTTTGCTTGTCTGATATGCGCGTGAGAAAGGTCTTTCTTGATCAAGTCCTAAGGTAGTACAAAACAAACAGACAAAATGCTATTGTAAAAGCATAAGACGCTGACACTGTTGACCGTCAATAATAGATTGTCTATCAGTTGAAAGATGGTGGAAATATTTTCCGTATCTTGCTAATAAGTCCTCAGAAGACCGTACATTTGTGCGAGAAATTATTTATGGAGATTCAATAATAATTATTCACGCGTGAAATCTTGTCCACGATTTTACCGGATAACCTTTGTTTTACATTCTTTCATCTGTGCATCTGATTTATCATCGGAACTGTTTCTTAGTACTGGCAATTACCCCATTTTGGAAAAAAAAATTAAGGACAGATGATACAAACAAATGTTTTCTTTGAAAAAGATTTAATAGCATGTCACAAATTTAGAAAAAGTTGATGTCATTTTTTTTAATTAACCCCCGTGGCAAAAACATTGCTATTCATACCATGAAGAAACAACACGAATATGTTTATACCAAGCTTTTGTATGTACGCATTCATTCTTGGGATGTCAAATCAATTTTCAAAAAAGTCAAGAAATCGTTGTCTGCAAGCTTGCAAATACATCAAATTATACAGATAAGTAGACTATCTGGGTGTAGTATTAATGGACGTTTTTGTACCTGTGTTTATATGGATATTTTCCGTCTGAATATGTTATCGAAATCCATTTAATAGCTTGAGCAAAATCACTAGTGCAATATTTTGGGGAAAAAACAGAGAAAGAGACAGGGAAATACCTATAAGGTATTCCAAAAAAAAAGACGGAAGACATAAATCATTATGAAAAGAAACAGGGTAAAACAATATGTTCCCATCTTTTGTTTGGAGTAAATGATAAGATTTTCAAAATAGTTATTGTTAATATAGTCTTTCAATTTAAAAAAAAAACACATAAAAATGTTGGTCAACTGGTGAACTTAAGGGAGATATAAAGAACTGTATGTAAGTTAAACTAGAGGTACTGTCAGCGATGAGCTCACTAAATGATACCCCTCGCCTTCCATATGGTTAGAACTGATGACAAAGTCTATGTTTTACTGTGGCCGGGCAACCTATGTTATGTGACGGATCATAAAGTACAATACGAGGTGCAAAATGGCAATATGTAATAAAGATTCTGTGAAAGTTTCATTAAATTTCACTAAGTGGTATAATAGGAGTTGCGGATAAGAGATGGGTATCCCAAACGGACGGTCAGACGGACAGACGGACGTACGGACGGACGGACGGACGGACAGACGGACGGACGGACATACCGATTACAGTATTCTTTTCCACTTTTCAAGCGGGGGTATAAATATCTATTCAAAGAATGAAAGTCACGCGAAAAAGAAGACATTGGCTTTTGTCAGAATTTGATTACAGTATAAGAAGGATGTTGAAAATTTAACACTGCATAAACGAGTGAGGTTTAACATGAAAACCTTATAATTTTCTGTCTTCAATAATTCATTTGTAAAAAAAAAAAAAGAATTACATGATGACCACTATGTACTGGTCCCTACTGGAAAAGCATTGTTTTCAATTATAAGGAGCATTATTTACCCCAATTTTTATTTGAAAAACTTTGAAAATCTATTAGAACGTAGAAAATCGAATCATATCATATCAAACTAATATTAAACAAATCTGAATAAACTAAAATTTATTGATTTGTAGAAATTATCAGGAATTAATTCTCTGACACATTAAAAAATCTACACATTTTATCATTAGCTTTTAAGAAAACAGGTAAAGCACTGTTTGCTGATTTTATCAAGTTTTTAAAGAGGCAAACTTGACCTTGCAGGATCTATTATCAGATTATTCAATATTTCCAAGATTTAATTTATGCAGATCTTCACTCAATATCTTTGAATCAAAATTGACGTTAAGTTCATAATTTTCTCTCTTTCAAAATCAGTTACATGATGAATTTGTCATTTCTTGATGTAATATCTAATTTAATGATGGAAATGTGTAATGCTGTGTAGTCTATATACATCCTTATGACTTAATTACAACATAATTTGATATATCCCTATCAAAGTATGATTTTTTAGCATATATTAGCCATTATCAGAGATAAATATATTGTCCTCTTATTTTTCGCTGGTATGTTTATTTTGCAATCAGATATCCTTATTGCCTATACAACATGAAGTCGTAGTATGCTCCATGGGGGAACTTTGAAGATAATGATTTATTTTTAAATGTATATTAAAAGTTTTATTTCAGGTCAAAGAAGTCAATGCAACCATTCAAAAACAATATATGAACTAAATTTTGTCGTTTTTGGATGGTATAAATAGCTTAAAGTTTGTCCTTCATTAATTACTGGCGTTAAATACCAAGACTATCACGTCATTACCATTGATAAAATATTTCCCGAGTAAAAATCAAACGTAAAATGAATTCATATCAACGATTATACGACATGCGAGTTTAAAGGCATATACCATGAATACCATATGTGTGATATATAAGGAATTAAATATTAAGAGTAAGGTACGCTGATTTTTACATATTATACGAGGGTTGTCCAAAAAGTTCGTGAACAATGACGTTTATTTCATAAGAAATATCTTGATTTACAAGAAAATTATATAAAACCATTCCTTTTCACAAAAACATCATTGTCCAGGAACTTTTAAGACAACCCTCGTACTTTTGTATAATGAATACAGACAGAGTATTGAAATCCATTTTAGCCTCTCCTCTATCATTCTATCAACAAAGAAGCAAAAGTTCAATACTATACGAATACATTGAAAGGTAATTTTTTTTACTGTATTGAAAGAATGTGTTTTATGGTATTTGGAAAGTGCTGCTAGAATTGTATGGCTAACATGAATCGATGACAGTTCATTAATCACATGAACAACCTGTAAGGTTTCATGAATTTTTTTTTCGGATTTAAAATATCAACATTCTAGCAGCATTTGGATTGGAACTTACCCTGAAATTACATATATAATTTTGCGAAAAAAAAAAGTATCTATGGACTTTTCATTTTTTTCGTAAAGGCAATTTTCTATAAATAGACATTACGTGATGACGTCTTATTAAAGTGCTGAATTGAGCCTAAGGCACTATGACGTCTACATAAAGGATAATGAAATATTAAATGTTTTATCTATCGGTTTGCGTGGCGCAGTGGTTAGAGTGTCTGCTTTAGAGTCACGAAGTAAGGAGTCAATCCTTACGTCGCGGGTTCGAATCCCATTTTGAGACGTGGAGACAGATCTTTCGGACGAGACAGTATAAACTGAGGTCCGATGTCGCAGTTGGTGCTGGTGCAAAAAGATCCCTCCCTGCTCACTTGCCTTTAGTGCCGCGTATAAGACAAAATTTGCAGCTCTCCACCGGCAAATGGTGGCATTTCCACATGAATGAAAATTCTCGAGAGAGACGATTAACAATATACAATCAATCAATCAATTGGTTTTCTGATAAATCAATGTTACATTTTACGAAATAAGGTCTATTCGCCAAAATGATCTAGGTACTGCCTTAATTTACCCTCATTTTTTCTGAAAGGAATCTTCAGCTTACCAAAACAATTAATATTCGAGATCAGGACAAACCCTTAGTTCGTACAATCCCAGTGTCAAGCATGAACTTTAAATTTACTTATCACAAAGTAATGACGTTAAGAAGATTGTATTAAAATATAACGTCATGATATTATTTATGCTCAACTTTAGATAAACGTATACCACGGTATAAGGTGCTTGCGTGGAAATTTTAAATTTCGATTTAAATGACGTGAACATAAAGTGTTTATTGCATAAAAGTTCAGTAAGTTGTAAAGAGTTAAGAAACATAAAGAGCTCACGGGAAAGTATAAAAAAATATGTCCATTTTTTTTTTTTTTATGCAATTTTTTCATTACATTAAATAATCATTTTGTTTCAGAAAATATAGGTCAAAAATTTGTCTATCTAGCAAATCTATTTATTATTATGCGATAGTAGAGGTAAATTTAATTCGGCTGTTATCATACTTTGCCCTTGAATAATTCTTAAGATTCCTGATTTTACAAAGAAAACATTGTCTCATTTTCGTCTCATTTTTGTGTGGTCACTTCTCACATTTAGGTCGAGGTAAGAAGTCCTCAGGATTTGCTGCAAGGTCCTCCACTGTGTAACTTGGACTCGGTACACAGTCAACCCCATCCATGTTCGAGAGAACCTTCAGAGGACCTTTAGGATCACTGTAATAAATTCCAACGCTGTCACGAATTCCCAAACTTGGATCTTTAGGAAAATAATTGAAAGGCAGAAGGAAGAAGCTGACGTCACCGCCGACAGTTTGCATAATGGGTGTCTCTGACGTATGGGGTATGTGGTGTATACCTAAGGTGACCCAAGCAACAAGGTCCTAAAAGTAAAAAAAAAAAATCAAGTACACTATGTTTTCAAAACAATAGAGTTCGCAAAGGTAGTTTATATGAATTTCATATCCCTTGTTATTAATCATTGAAATGATTACTTTGTTAAAGCCACTTTTATGGCCCAGCGGTAAGAGCGTTTGCTCTAAGAGATGCTGAGTATGGAACTGAGCCAGGTTACGTCATGAGTTCGAATCCCCTGTGTGACGTTGATGAGACTCTATGAATCAAGATCCCCTATCGCTGCAATTGCTTTCAAGAAAATAAACTCTCTTTGCTCTAAGGCCGTAAAAAGTCTAAAATTGCAGCCCTCTGCTGTAAAAAAAACTGCGTGAGTGTGAAATTATAGGGATGTTAAACAACAGACTTTAAATTCAACATTCAGATATATTAACATTGTCTTTAACTCTACATTTAGATATATCGACGGCGTTTTCTCAACAAACAAAAGACATATCTATTAATATACTAATGGACTCGAAATGAAAAACAACAAAAAATCTTGTCACATTTTTCATAATTGAATATTTTACTGATAATAGATGTTGATAAGACCGTACAATTTGATGTCCCTTTTCCCAGTGGGAGCTGGTACGAAAAATATCCCTCCCTGTTCAATGACCCCTAACTGCCGAGAAAAGAACATAATTTGCAGCTCTCCATCAGAAAGTAGTGATGTCTCCCAATGAGTAAAAAATTCTCGAGAGGAACGTTAAACAATAAACAATCAATCAATAAAAATTGGGAATTACAAATAATAGCAGTCGCAAAAGAATATCCTTTTTCTCGCTCTCTCTCTCTCTATCTCTGTGAACAAACCTCTTTCGGGGAAGTCACAAATGCATAAAAGGCAAAAATTAGCCTAGTTTACGAGTTACCGAGGATGGAAGTTGAAGTTTACCTCTTGTAGAATTGGTTCATCTCCTATAAAGTTTTCAAAATTTACAACCCGGTCCTTTCCATCAAAGGTAGCGTATTTAGAGCTACTATATTGTTCTGTTTCCTTTCTCTTTGTGACTGCCAGTTGATATCTCATCCACGATGCTCCTGGTTCGTTCCCTACGCCTTCTTTGAACAGACTCTTGGACATTCCTCTTAATAAAAGCCGATATGCTTTAGGATTCCCAAACTTATCCTTTTTATCTTCATTGTAGAACACATGATATCGGGGTTGGCTAAAATTATACCTTAAAGCGGCTTCTCTCTCTGTGGCATAATTTACTTTTACAATTTTAGTTTGGAACCATTTTTCGGGATATCGTCCCTTTAAGAATTGATTTGGGACTTTTTCTTCACGTATATCGTATGTGGAGTAGGTGTTTTTCGTGCCTCCGATGTCAAGATCAACCTTAAAATTAAACATGTGATGATGAAGAATGCCAGTAGCTTGTGTGTTTATCTGGAAGCCATACTTACAGCTATCTTGGACGTAGGACGGCGAAACAATCCCTGATGTAGTTACTTTAGTCTCCATTGCGCCATTGTTGTAGAACATAAAGTCATAGATGTAGTCATAATTTCCAACAGTAGATATCATTCGGAGAACAAGTACAGTGTTAGGTACACCTTCATAAAAGCCAGACGGGTAGTCGTCTGCAACATAATGTCGTCTGAGCGGGATACCCGTATTGTGTTCGAATACGCATATAGAGTTCCTTTTTATAACTGGCATATCTGAAGTTTCCGACATAAACCTTGAATCGGCAAAAGTTGCGTGAGATGGGCAATCAACGCCTGGAACTAATGTCTGAATTCTGTTTCCAATCAAACTAATGCTGTCAAAATAATTAGCAAATCTACCAAATGGTTCCGATGACGAATAGAAAACTGTCATTTCTGAAAGACCTAACTGATAAACTATCATTTCGTTTTTGAATTTTATTTGGAAAAGCTGAGGACCATGAGTAGGTGATACCCCAAACTGAAAGTCCCAGTTCATGTAGTGAACTGACTGGCCTTTGATTGAGTAACGTTTCCCGTCCGGTTCTACTTGTGTTGGAGGTCTTTGAGGATGTGGAGGAAACACTTCAGGTGGATGTAGATCTGAAGGGAAACACACATGAAGTTTTTTCACCATTCCTTTTAGCCAAGCCTTTCTAAATGATTGAAGCGAATCAAACAGTTGGCCATTGTACCACACATCTGCAGTCTGTGGTGTACCAGTCCCGTTTATGGTGACAAGAACAATAAAATCAACAGGATTTAGGGTACTTGGGCGTCGTCTTTGAAAAAAAGGAAACCAGTAACCTCGAAAACCTTTATCACGAATTCCAGAAATTATAGCGGCATAAGGAATGATTATTTGAAACCCAAGACACCTGTTACTACAGTTCACTAGAGAACCCTCAAAACTCTCAAACAAAATATCACCAGCCAGCCTATTTGTCTTCTCAATTAGAACTTTGATGGCTGCTGATATTTCTGGAAATGTGGCAGGTCTAAAGGAAAATGGGATATACCTAGGAATTCCACAAAATCCTATACGTGGAGCTAGCTGTACACAGTATTCTGCTACAACCGGACTCACTTTTCCACCATGAAATACAGTGACCAACGCTTTCCGTATAATTTGTCTCTGAGGATTACTTTCGATGTTCTTCTTTTTAGGAAGAATTAATTCCATGGTGTAAATGTAGTTTGAAGACAAAGTTGCCTCACTCTGCACTGTCAAATTAAGACTTCGTTGTGTAAACATGAAATTGAAAATTGCTTTAATTTCCTCACTTGTCAGATCATGAAATGGTGACGGGTTTCCAAGTTCACTGAGATCAATGAAATCTTTAGATAGCGGTCCATGACATTGAGGGCAACCATTTGGTATATTTTTATTATTAGTAGGGGCTATAAGAAAAACAGAGTAAGAAAAGTTAGACGATTAAGCCAGCAAATTTTAAAACATTACTCACAAAGAATCAGACTTGTTTATTCGTTCATCTAAGTAATAACTGTCTTATTTTGTGATTTCATAATGTGATAAATTGATTCGCTTGCATAAAATTTGCATGACTGCCGAAGACGTTTATGCATACAATTATCACGCAAGCCAATCGATTGATCACTGTCATAAAATCGAAAAATCTAAAAGTTATTTCGTATATTTAAATGCTCTGAATTCCGCCAATCCACAAGCTACATGTATCTGTCTCGCCCTGAACGTGTTTTTGACAACACCTATCATATTACATTGATAAGGAAATATAGTACATTAACTATTTGTTATTTAATTCCGAAAAAGGACATTGGAAACGTAAATATTCGAATTTCAATTATAAAATCTTTGAGGGATAAAAAATGATAAACAATACAAGCAATCTCTTATCCGCCCCTTGTAGTCCATACTTACATTTTAGATAATGTGGAGCAGTCTCATGAGGACCTGAAATGTAAAAACAAATATCGGTATTATTGCTCAAAATATTCAGACAAAAATGCATGTACATTTACCGTATAACGGGTATATTTTACGTTCTGCTACTTTTTACTAATTTTTTACGAGTTGTGTAAATCCGTAAACTTTACACGTAAAATTTTACTCATCAAAAACAATGTCTCGCCTAAATTTTGAACATCGTACATGTATTATATGCAATCACTGTCATTAAGCTAAGTACCTGGAGGCTATAGAATACTTCTGACAAACGTTGGTTTTTAAGGAACTCTTTAATTGATTATCAATTAGGATCAAATCTTGATTAATGCACAAATTATACAAACATCTTCAATTACCTACCTCTTACGGGACACAAGATTTCTGATAGTGGTTTAATTTAAACAGACTCAAGTCTAAAAATTATATATGTTTTTTCAAGACTTTTTTCTTGGATCCTGTCTTTTTTTTTCATTTTTATTTGCTTATAGTAAAAACTTTGGCATTTTAATACACTGAAATCCGTGTCCGCTGTAATTCTTTCAACTAAATCATGATGGTTTGAGTTGTTTCTCTTTGTTTTCATTAAAATTAAGACGGGCACGTGGTGCACAATGATAATGATGCGTTGACATGAGTATTAATTGAAAAAGAATAAATTCAGGGCATGTGATACATAAAGGTATTTAGATGAATAAAAATACCATCATTTAATGAATCGGCACTCGTTATCACGGGAACAATTTCGTTTTTATTTTACATAGTAGCAGAGCAAACACGAAACTCCAGAACATCAGAGGTGGAATTACGTGCCATGGAGGAGTTAGCATCCCCTGTTGACCGGTCACACCCGCCGTGTACTCCTTGTCACGATCGTGAAATAACGGGAAATCCGTCGACATTCCAGTGTATAAACATGTAAAATTCATGCAAAGCATCAAATTGGCCGCTAACAAAAAGTACTTTCACAATTTAAAAAAAGCGTTATATATAACGTATTGAACAGTGAAATGTAACTTAAGTAAAGAGATTATAATATCAATCGCTCACTGTCGGAAACGTAAATTTTGTAGATAACTCGACCGTATTTTGAAGACTTTTTCAAACAATTAGATATGAGCCGGAACGGGGCCAACATTGTCCTTCATCAAAAAAGGAAATGCACCGTAGAATTTTAGTGACACGTTGAGCATACAGATAATATAGTAAAATGATGCATAAATAAAATAGAAATGTGGAAAACGACAGGAATACTATGTAAGTGTGATAATACGCAACAATTTAAAATTTATAGTCAGTTTAAGGCCATTAATGATCAATATCTGGTATGCCCCCCGAAACAAATGATAGCCAAAACCGGCATCTAATGGAAGCAAATGTGTGTAACAAAAACTGTATAGGAATACTCTCCCACTCCAAATGTATGACTTTGGTCAACTGTTGCAGAGTCTTGGGATGCGATTGTGTTTGGCAAATCATGTCAATCCTTATTTGTTCAATGCTGCTTAATTTGGATTAAATCTAGCCATTTATATGACTGTGACAGAAACAGATTGCTGTTGCTTTGCAAGAATTGCAGTGTCAAACAAGCCATGTGTGGCTGTGTATTGTGAGATTGCAATACGGCTCTGGGATGCTGCAAAATTGAATGGACATGTGTAGGTAGAACATGGTTAGAGTACTTTTCCATCAAAGTCCATTGAATTTAAACCAAATCAATCTTACTTTCTCATAATACCGTTTTCCATACCATTACACTACCACCACCAACTTTGTTAACGTCCTGGAGTCAGGTATCTGTCTAATATTCATTACAAAACATTAGCACTCTTAAACTTATGAGACTTTCAGATAAACATTCTGGACTAGTAGCTAAACCAAAATGTTCAGCAGTGAAGCTGTGGTCATACTCTTTTGATCTGAGATCTGATATCTTTGAAGTAGATATTTGGGGTGTTGTGGGGTCAGAACAATGGCATGAATAATCCCCTTGCAATTATTTGTAGTTATCTGAAAAGGGTCTTGTTAGATGATCTGTGCAGTTCAGGGGTAGCTGATGCTTTAGATGACGTCATTGCATTACATTCATGTAATTTACGTAATCTTCTGAAGTGATGGTGTGCTGCTGATGTCACACGTAGTCTACCATGGTTTTTGCGAATTTAACATTGTGTGTTCGATGTTAATGGTTTATGTTTTATAGGTTAGATATGACGCTGTGCATAACATCAAAATCTATTGCAATTGTAGATTGCGGTACCCCTGCTTCCAATCGCCAATTTATATTCTCTTCTGGTAATAGTGAAACATAGTGGATATATTTATAGCTAAAAAGCGCCTTAAGCATCGTCAAATTTAGCATGGATTTGAAATAATTGAATATTTTCCAATGTCTCTTGATACCCAAACCCTTAAAAGTCGTACCGAATTTACTTAGAGTTTCGTTTATTTACATGTAATTCAAGGGTGGAAATACTTGAACAATCTGTTGGCGGATCATCGACGGGCGCGTTTGCTGAATAATACTTGTAGTAATTTATTATTATTTAATTAAGGAAATGTTTTATTACCTTAATGTTAATATTAGCTATTTTCGGATAGCTACTCGATGCTCCTCGCGAAAATCGGTTACGCAACTCTTTTGTTTTGAAGGTGATGCTGGGTATAAGCATAGGCCAACGGGTATAATAATTATATTAGGGGAATTTTTCGTCAGTAAGTCACTGTTGCTGTTTCGTTTAGAATTAACTCTGAAATTGTCATCGTAATTCAGCTATAGTATTTTATACTCAGTTCCTTTAAGGAGGCTTGTGGTCGACAAATTATAATTATTATTGACCATCAGATATAACTTACATTTTGGGTCATGATATCAAATGCTGTCAAAATCATTCGACAAAGAATCAATTCTCATGCATTTTAGTTTTGAAATTTGATCATTTTATTTTATCCTATGTTTAACCCTTCATCCCGTTGATATAACTCATGTGATATCGTTTTCGTATCACACAGTTATGATGTCACAATGGATTTTGCGTTAGAGTGATGAAGTAAAATGAAATGGAGTCCTATATAAAAACAGTGTCAAACATTGTTCGTGGTGTAAAAAACATGGGATAAAAAGAATCTCACATGATTTGTAGTTGGATATGATTTTTATCCAACTCGTTGTGTATTTTTATCCCCTCGCCAAGGCTCTCGGATAAAATCCACACGACTCGTTGGATAAAAATCATATCCAACTACAAAGCAAGTGAGATCCTATATACATATCTTCAAATGGAGCTCTTCTTCTAAAATAGATCAAATGATCTAAAAATGGTCAGAAGCACCCAGCCTCTTTAAACGGTGTAAAAGATATATCCATCTCTGAGGTTAAAGTCATTTAATTGATACAAAAATTTCACTAATAAAATTGTTTATAAACATCTAATTTATATTTTATTTAACTAAAATTATTTTCAATGGCGGTAATGAAGAAAAAAAATCTTGTTGATGAAAAAGATATGTCCCGCACATTATCCATTGGCAATAGAAAAGATGAAATACTTGCTTACTAACAAGTTATTTGTATTTCCAAAGGATAAAGATAAGCTAGATGTACTGTGAGCATTGAGCTCACTTTAATGATACCCTCCCGCCTCCTTTGTGATTATTATGACAAAGTCCATGTTTTGCTCATGGAGACCAAAAAAAAGTGCCAGATCAAAAAAAGTAAAATAAAAGTGCTCAATGGCATTGTGTAAAAAAGAATCACAAAGTATCACTAAATTTTATTGAGAGGCAAAGGATTGATTGATTTATTGTATATTGTTTAACGTCCTTCTCGAGAATTTTTCACTCAGATGGAGACGTCACCGTATGTCGGTGAAGGGCTTCAAAAATTGTCCTTTGCTCGGCACTCAGAGCCACTGAGCAGTGAGGGATCTTTATCGTGCCAACGCCTGCCGCTGACACGGGGCCTCGGTTTTAAGGTCTCATCCGAAGGACCCGCAACTTTCACTTCACAGTGCCGAGCGCATGGCGAATATACCCATTATTATCGACTTGGGTCAGTCGTGGCCGATCGAGATACGAACTAACGACCTCCCAATCACTTAGCGAGCGCTCTACCGTCTCAGCTACCGTGAACGGTGAGTGGTATAGGAAGGGTTGCAGATACGAGATAGATATACCCTGCAATATTTGAAATAATAGCTGTATACATGTTTTGCTAAGGAGGCCAAAATTATGTGTCTGATCAAAAAATTAAATAGAAAGTGCACTTTGGTTTTTTTTTCGAAAGATTCTGTGAAAGGCTTAATGAATTCTGTGAAGCCTCATTAAAATTCATTCAGCACGAAACAGACACAATGGGAATCAATCCAGGAACAAGCTCTCTAAACACTACATCTATTCCGTGCCTGCGACTTACTGATGAATAAATCAAAAGCAGTTTGAAATTGACATCGAATTGGAATTTTCAGGGTTTTTTTTAAAAACAGTTGAGGTACATATACATGTAACAATTTTCTTTCATTCTAAGAGGATTTGTGTGACTTACGATGCGTGTTCGATCTCTCTGTCAGGGACTCAGCTTGAAGACTTGTAATATATCCGACCAAAAACACAATAAGGATCTAAAAAGTAAGAACAACAAAAGAAACAAAAGACAACAGTTTGCATTTCCCTTAAGGGCAGATGATACAAACAAATTTTATTTTTGGAGAAGACTTAATATCATGTCACAAGTTTAGAAAACTGGATAATTCTTAAAATATTTTCTCCTAAGAACTGGCAAATGAAATAGACTTGTAAAATATTACTAATATTTCAATAAAAAAAACAAATACTTACAAATCACACTCAGTAAAGGTTTACAGGTGAAAACAAATTTCAGAATATGTTAGCTTGGTGTTAAAAATGTAATATAAACTTTAGAAATATATACCGAGCCATGTGAATTTTATTAAGAAAAGCAAATGGTATTAATCACTCTATATTATATGGGCTGATTTTTACCATTTTGCTTTTCCTCATAATATTCACCTGGCTTGGTATATCTTTCTAAAGTTTATATTACACTTTTAGCACCAAGCCAACATATTCTGAAATTTATTCTCATCTGTAAACCTTTATTGGGTGTGTTTTATCTATTTTTATAATTTTATTGAAATATAACTAATATTTTCAAAGTTTTTTTTCATTTTCCAATTCTTATGAGAAAAAATTGTAAGAATTATCCACTTTTCT